AGTGCACGGGCTGAGGCCATCAAGGCCCTCGTCAAGCCCAAGGAGGTCAAGCCCAAGATCCCCAAGGGCGGCAGCCGCAAGCTCAGTCGACTTGCCTACATCGCCCACCCCAAGCTTGGGAAACGTGCCCGCGCCCGCATTGCCAAGGGTCTCAGGCTCTGCCGGCCAAAGGCCAAGGCTCAAACCAAGGCCCCAGCCACACCTGCAGCTGCAGCTCAGGCTCCAGCTCCCAAAGGTGCCCAGGCTCTGGCTCCCAAAGGTGCCCAGGCTCCGGCTCCCAAAGGTGCCCAGGCTCCGGCTCCCAAAGGTGCCCAGGCTCCGGCTCCCAAAGGTGCCCAGGCTCCAGCTCCCAAAGGTGCCCAGGCTCCCACGAAGGCTCCAGAGTAGAGGCCTCTGTCTGCCGATGTGAGGATGGAAGGACTGGTGTGACCCTTGGGCTGCTGTCTGCATGGGGCTGGTGTCCTCCTGAGCTATTTGTGCAAATAAAGCTGAGGCAGGATCTGTCAATCAGCCTGTGTCTGTGATCCCAGGGCTGCGACTAGGGTTCAAGTGGGGTTGGCACTTCCATTTTGTGTGGGAGAAGAGAGTGGCTTTCTCTGGATGGAAGGGTGTGGTTGGGTATCAGAAGTAGTTCCCTGGAGTACAAGAAGGGGACCTAACGTGCAATGGTTGGTGTACCTTAGGGAAGCTGAGGCACAGCTTGCTGGACTGAGCAGGCTGGTGAGGAAAGGGACAAATTCCAAACATCCTTGTCAGGCGTTGAAACAACAGGAAAGGGAAGGGACCTTGCTGAAGAATGCACTCCGGCCTGAGGGGTCCAGGCTATTCCTAGTGTACTTGGCCAGCATGTGCTGCTCAGGGTTGTGCTGGTCCCACAAGTGCTAGGAGTCCCGGGTGCGGAGGAGGGACTGTTCATTATGTGACTGCTGCTGCGTCACAGAGATGAGATCATTCTGTCCTGCAGGGAGGCCTGGACAAACAAAGGTCTGGGCAAGGGGGCCCCTGGAAATGTACATAGAACAGCCAATTCTTGGAGAACAGGGCATGCACCATGAAACCCCCATCCAGTGAGGGACTGGCAAATAGACTACACAGACCCTCTCCCCTTGAGCTAGGGCTCCTAATTTGCTAGTGTGTGTCCATAGTGCCTCTGGTTTAGCTCAAGCATTTCCATGTCAGCAGGCTAATATTAGGCCGTTACCATAAAGGGCCTAGGAAAGGTACTATGTCTCCGTGCCCCCATTGAAGAGAGTTACCGGGCGTCACATTTCAAGGACAATATACATGAATGGGCAAAAGAACGATACTGAAAGGAGGGTCCACCTCCCCTTAACCCACAAGCAGCTGGGCTGGTGGAAAGGAAGAAGGGTGTCCTCAAGTCACATACTGGGTTGTCAGAAAAGCCAAGATGCATTTTTGCAATGAAAATGATGTCATGACTTCCAACAACCCAATGGAATGGCTAATTGGAAAACCTACTTCAGCCGGGTGGACAAAGGTGCTTTCCCGTGTCAATACATGTAAGTGACCCACCCGTGGGGCCTACTTCCCCACGTGCAGGTTAGCAGTCACTGAGGCACCCAGTACAGTAACGGTGTGGAAAACGACAGCAATAGTCCTAGTGCTTGCCATGGCCCAAAGGGTCATGATAATGAGGGTGCCAAGCCCTGTTGTCCCTGGAACTATTGGGTCGACGTAAAAGTCATGACATTTTTGCATAGAAAACAAAAAAGACGTCATGACTTTTCCGACGACCCAATAGAACTACTTAGTGGAATCTGCAATGAGACATGCTGCTGGGTTGGGGCAGTTACTTCACGCCCCTGGGTAGGGCTCAGTCTCCAGTGGGACCATCATCCTAATGCAGTCGGGACCCTCGGACGTGTGCTATATGTGGACCAGTCGCTGCACCATTGAAAGAGGAGCCCTGTTCTGGCATATTCCACCTCCTATTCACCTCAAGACAAAAAGCATCACCTGGGCCGGCTGAGTGGCGCGATGGTTAAGAACTGACTTGGGATGCCAGAGGGCCCCGGTTCGGATCCCACATATGAGGGCCAGTGACACTGCCCTCCACAGCTAAGATGCTGAACAACAGCTCAACCTGGAGCTGGGCTGCCATGAGTCACTGGTGACGGCATAGGCTGCAGCCCCTGTGGCAGTGGGTTGCCATGGGCTACCGTGTGTAGCCAGCAGCCAGCGTGAGCCGCCAGCAGCCGCAGTGAGCGGCCGTCCAGAGGCCGGCGACTGATCTGCCTCGCCCGGGAAGAGTGCAATGATGGTGCCAACTTGGGCCAGTGAAGCAACGTCCTCCACAACTAGACTGAAGAACAAAACGACAGCAACTTGTCTGTTCCCCTTCCCCCAATTCCCCAGTGCTGTTCCCATCCCCCAATTCCCCAATAAAAAAAATATAAATAAATAAAAAAGCATCACCTCTCCCGGCCAACTCGTTGCTGGACACAGGCGTGGCTAGGTGGTACAGGGCAGTGAGCTATGTTGGACACAGCAGCATGGAATGGTGGGGAAGTGCCCAGAGCCAGGCTCAGTGTCCTCATCTGTGAAATGGGGATGGTAACAACAGCATGTCCCCAAAGAAATGGGAATCCATGCGCCATGAAGTCCCCTGTCCACACACTTTATTGTTGGGCAGGGGGAGGAGGGGTCCTTGGCACTGGTCACAGTGGAAGTTCCAGGGTGGAGGCTGGGAGCGTGCAGCTCAGCTGTCACTGGGCAGGGCGGGCACGCTGGCCAGGGCAGGCAGCAGCCGTGTGTATATGTCGACCCCACGGAGGAGCACGGCCTCGTGCAGCCGCTCATCATGGTCGTGCAGCAGCACCGGTGTGCGGTTCATGGGGGAGAAGCCCAGAGCCGGGACCCCGACCTGCAGGGGGGCAAGGAAGAGCCATTAGAGGAAAGACCAGCGTCCAGGACCACCCCACGCCCACCCTACTGCAAGCAGCTCACCGCGCGGATATAGCGGCTGTCAGTGGCAGCGGGGAAGATCTCAGGCTCCAGAGTAAGGTTCCTGCCGAGGGAAGAGCCTGGTAAACGGGTGGACAGAGAGGGGAAGGGGCAAAGGGGCAAAGAAAGGTGGAAGGGAAGAGAGTCAAGAGAGAGGGAAGGGGGAGAGGAGGGCAGGCCAGGGTGCTCACATGTCCTTGCAGACCCCGCTAAAGGCTGCCCACCAGGGGTCTGAGTCATCAGTAGATGTCACTCGGGGCTTCGTCCACTTCTGGGGGGAGGGGAAGGATGGCAGAATCAGGACAGGGCCTGGGCATCTTGCCCTGGCACAGGGCACATACCCACCCCCTAACAAACCCCACCCACCTACCCAGGTAGCCAGCTGGCCAGTCCAGCCACAGGCTCTCTGCCAGTTCCTCAAAGGCCACAGGTCCGGGACTTTCCCCTGCACTCCGTATACTTCCTGTCCACCCTTCAGATCCGTGGCTAAGTACCCCTTTCCCAAGATGGCTCTCCCAGACCTCTCAGACTGGTTCAGTTACAGGTCTCAGAGTACGAGGTCCCCCCACTTCTGAACCATATGTGATCATACGTATATAGAATATTATGTAATTACTTGATTCATGTCCATTCCCGCCTTCGTACTGTAAGGACTAACAGGGCAAGAACCATGTCTAAGTTTCCTGCCTACACTACTTCCCAGCAGCCAACGGGGCCCTCCACAAAAACGTGTCTCAGAGCTAAAGCAATGCCCAGATGTGTGCAGGCACACGGTCCCCCAGTGACACACACTCGGCAAGCCGTCTCCCAAGCTCCCACAAGTCCCCCATCACAGGTTCCCAATCAGTACCTGAGCAAACTCGAAGGTGACCCCCTCGCCAGCTGCCTGGCACCAGCTCCGCAGCTGTTCCTCGAAAGCCTATGAGAATGGACATGAGCTGATCCCTCAGGCTCTCCCTGAGCCTCTAGGACAGGATTGAGGACCCGGGCTCCCACCTCCAAACCCAGGTGGAGATGGCACCTTCAGGTCCACATCCGGTGCCACGCGGAAGTCAAAGCTGGCGCTCATAGTGGCAGGTACCACGTTATAGGCCACGCCGCCCTCTAGTTTAGTCAGGTTCACAGAGGTCACAGCCCCCTGCTTCAAGTGGGGGTTTGACTGCAGCCTGCGGTGGAGGGCAGGGGCAGGGGCGGCAAGAGGGAACCACAGATAAAAAAGGAGGCTCGGCTTCGCTCCCCTGACACCGTCCCCCTGCCCCTGCCCCCTTCCCAGGCTGCCTCACCTCTGCCTCTCCTTCTCCCGGAAAGCCAGGATCGAGCTGACAACCTTGTGCTAGGAGAGTGTAAGGTTAGATGTGAGAATGGCCCCAGGATAGAGCCTTAGGGATTCCCAAACTCCGTCCCCATGTGCCACCCACCAGCTTCTCTGCGGCTGTGTCCTCGATGAATCGTGAGCCGTGGCCGGGCCTCCCAGTGCTTGTGACCCGAACCCCTGGGAGATGCAAGGGGAAGGGGTGCCTTCAGCATGGGAAGGGCCGGGAAATCACGCAGCCCTGGGGTGGGCCCATGTCTGCCCCTTTCCAAGCTCTCCTGGCAGGGCTCTGTCCCCCTCAGAAGGTACAGTGAAGGGCTGATATCTGCCCCAAGTGAGGGCTTGCCCTCGGAAGCTCAGGAAGGAGAAGCCCAGGAAGGAAGGGGCTGGGGGGCAGAAGCCCTAGGTTCAAGGCCCACGCAGGCCCCTGCCTCTTCTGGCCCCCGTCTGCACAGTTGGCCCCCTCCCTCCAAGCCCATACTCACACCAGGGGCTCCGCTCACTGTAAAAGACAGTGAAGGCGTCAGTGGGGTTGGCCAGACCTAAGGAGGGCGGAAAGGGGGTTCAGAGGATGGAGCCCAGCCCCCACTAGCAGCCTCCCCTGCTGGACACACACACACACACTCAGTAGCCTGCCATCCTGCTCACCCTCATCCAGGGCGAAGCCAGCCCTCAGGGCCTGGAACTCAGGCCTCTGTACAAACAGCTCCATGCCCTGGTGACCCCCAGTCTCCTCATCTGTAAAAGCATCAGGGATGTGAGATGAGGACGCTGTTCCCCAACACACCCTCCCGCTCCCTGAAGGTGCCCCTCCCCAAGCCACGCCTACCTGGCACAAAGGTCATGTGGATGGTTCTGGGGAAATGGTGGCCTTCGGCCTTCAGCCTCCTCACAGCCTCCAGGTACCTGCGGGGGGGTGAGAGGGTGCAAGCCAGGTGCTGAGGGAGCCACCGGATGCTCAGGTGGGCAGGCTGGAGCCATAGGCCCTGGGCCCTGCTGCCACAGCCTGGCAGGAGACTCAGGGAAGTCCCAGTCCTTCAACCTCCCCATCCATGCGATGGTCACAGCAGTAACGATTGCACAATGTAAGGGGGACATCTTGATGTCCCTTGGCCTTGAGGTTCTCCAATCACACCCCAGCTTCTGGGTCATTCCAATGGGCCAGAACTGTGGGGGACTGGAAATGGAGGACACTCACTGGATGCCGACACACTTCATGTCCTGGGCGCCCCTGGCATAGATGTAGCCCTCAGCATCCTTGAAGGCCTCAAAGGGGTCATGACTCCAGTGTTCCTGGGGGCAAGGATGGGAAAAGGGACCCAAGCCCCAAACTTAGTCATTAATCCACTGTGCTCAACAGTGGCCCTGCCCTAGGAGCCCACCATAGGGTTGGGGTGGCAGGATGGGTGGTGAAGGGGACAGAAGAGGGCTGAGGACAGCGGATTGCCACCCCCACTCTGGGCATGAAAAGGCTGCTTGAGTGGAGTGACGCTGAATGAAGTCAAGAGTCAGTGCCAGGACCAGCACTGGAAGGCTCCCTGAGGTCGATTACAGGGTTTTGCCTCATCTTTGTCCCTTGCACGACTCCCCTCCCCCCCGCCTTCCCAGGACACACACACACACCTCGAAGACAGGTACCACATCAGTGTGGGAGTTGAGCAAGAGAGAGGAGAGTTTGGGGTTGGTGCCTGGCCAGGTCAGCACGGTCACCACAAGGCCAGGTGCCACCTAGAAAGGGCCAGGAGGTGGGGCGGTCAGTGCAGTGTGAGGAGATGCCCCAGGCCCACTTCCCCTCCCCACACAGGGCCCCAGGCTCACCTCCACTTTCTGACAGCCCAGGCCCAGCTGGCGGGCTCTCTCCTCTAGGAAGGCCACGGCAGCCCCTGCGGACAGAGAGTCTGGAGGCTGCTTCTGCCTATCCAGCAACACCCCCGCCACCCCGGGCCAGGAAGAGCTTAGGGGTATATCCAGAAAGGGGAGCAGACCCACAAATGGGCTGCTGCCTTGACATAATTCCACATTCCTCAGAGACACCTGCGTGTCTGTCCCCAAGGAAGAAGATATTTTTGGCCAGTGACCCTTTGTGGAAGGCCAAGAGGCAAGTTCAGGGTTAGAAGCTGGTGTTATTGTTATCTTCCTTAAAGGTGGGGAAACTATGGTGCAGAGACATAAGAGTCGCCCAACGTCTCCCGGCTGGAAAATCACAGCAGGAATTTGGACCCACGCACACAATTCCCAACCACCAAGTTTGACTCTTTAAGGGCTGGGGCCTTTGTTCAGCCCCGGTAGGCTTCTGGAGGCCTCTTCTCCCCTGTGGCTGCCCGAGTCTTCCCCACCCAAGCCCTGGGGAGTATGGTGAAGTTGCTCCTTTACTGGCCACCAGGAGTAACTTTTGGAGCACAGCCTGTGCAGAACTGGTTTCTCCACAGCCTGGAGTGACTGCAGAGCAGTGTATTTGACCTAGGGGATGGCTAGAGGGGTTGAGGTGCCACTTGGGGCATTAGAGTGGGGCTCAGCTGGATGACAGGGGTTGGAGCCTGGTTGAAGGCACAGTCCCACCCCTGAGGCCCCACCACTGGCCCTGGAACCGCCGCGGTCTCACCATAGTCGGGCTTGGGATGGACGGTGCGGATGCGCAGGTACTGACGGAACAGTGTCACGGATGGGTGCTCGACCTCGTGACCCTTGTTGGCCATGGCGCTGCACGTTGTGAGCTGGGAACAAAGCGCGTGGCTACCTACCTCTCCCAGCCGCTGGGGCCCAGGGGACTCCATTTGTACACAGACCCTCCCCAGAAGGACACCTTGTTTCGGAGACCCCATTCAGTTGTCAGGCGCTGTGCTGGCTACTTTCAACACATCTCCTTCTTTAACCCCCAAAGGGCCCCATGAAGTTCGTGCCTCTGAATACCCACTTTACAGAGGAGAACGCTGAGGCTCAGAGAGGTTCGGGGACAGCTAGAGAGCAGCAGAACGAGGTTTGAAACCAGACATGGACTCCCCCGCCCTCCTCAAAAAACGTCTCCCCAGTTGTTCGGATTTCTTGCCAGGGAGCCCCAGATCCCCCTACCCCTCTCCAGGGCCCCCCACCTTGCTCTCTGCAGGTCTTGGGCCCGTGCTCGCCTCTCAGCGCCCTCCTGGGACTGTGGCCGGGACTCAGGGTCCTGCGAGGTCGAAGGCTCAAAACCAGTCCCCGCCCACCATGTGGCTGGCCCGGGATCGGAGGCGGGGCCGAAGACCGCGCGTCTGGGCGTCTCCGCCCCCCCGCGGCTCCAGCCTCCGCCGGGTGATCCGAGGCACAGGTTCTGGATCCCGGGTCCCGCCCCGGGGCCGCTGCCTCAGCCGCCAGCTCCGCCCAGCGGCGGAAAGCGAGCTCCCGGCGGGCCCCGCCCCCACAGGGCCCGGGACAGTGAGTTCCGGACGGTCCCGCCCCCAGAGGTCGCCACCTCCTGCAGCCTCCAGATTGGGCTGCAAGAGAAGAGGGCGGGCCCTCGCGCTCAGATTCCGCGCTGCGAAGTCCTGCGGGAGCGGACCCCTGCCTGCTCCCCCTACTCCTCCCGCCAGGGGCCTACTTCTCCTCTTTTCATGTCTCAGCTCCTAGGGAGGGCTTCCCTGACTTCCTCGGTCCCCTGGATGGAGAGGTTATTGGTTAATATCTGTCCCCCACGCTGCAAGCTCCAGGAGACTGGTTCATGTACCCGCAGGATTCTGTCCCTGCCAGAGCACAGAGCAGACACCCAGGACACTGTGCCAGGAATGAAGGATAAATGGACGAAATAGATGCATGTGTGACTGCGGTGTGATCGTGTGAACGGAGCGGCTGTGTGGGCAAATCTAACTGTGTGTCAGTGGGTATGGCCATGTGTAGTTGGGTGTGACAGCATCTGTGTGACAGAGGATGTCACAGTGAGAGGATGTAATCGTGACACTGTACTGACAGTGTAAGAGGTGAGGAAACTATACAAAAGCATACAGGCAGCACACTCTTGACGGACGCTGTGCCAGGCTCCTTGGGTCTTCTGCAGCCACCAGAGAGGGCGGATAAAGACACAGGTGTCCCACTGGCCACACACACGCTGCACACAGTAATAGCTGCTCACTTGTGTGCTGGGCTGCCCTTTGTACTCTCAGCCAGTTCTGCCCTCTGCTCCAGGAGCTGAGTCAGCTTGGGAAGGCAGGGTTGAAGACTTTAACTTCAGGGCCCAGAGGAGGCAGGCTGGGAGGGTAGGGTA